ACACGTACTCAAAGAAACCAGTTAATTGGGGGATTGTGACTTTAAAAAAAAAACAACAAGGTAGTTGGGTGTCCTAGCGATCCAGTCACACCACCACAGCAACCCTGCGAGTCACCAGGCAGGCATGGCTCCAGCCCTTCCTCCACACTGACCCCAAGGCCTGGCTGCGTGTGCCCCAGAACTGCCATGCGCCTCACCTACAGGTGGTGTTGCTGCAGAGGTCAGGTGGGACGCGGGGTCAGCAGGAGCCGTCTCTATGCCAGCCTGAGCTTTGCTGAGTTCCATCTGAGACAGCAGCTTGCCAGGAGGGGCGGCACTGGAAGCTGGGGTGCTCAAGTTCCCAACTGCACCGTCTGGAGCCTGAAAGGGTTAAAGTAATTGAGACCCAACGGAACTGCCAAGCAGAGCAGCAAAAATTCACAGCACCCACAGGAGCTCGAGGAGTGTGATGCAGAGCGGGGATGCCATCCGGCCCTTAGCTAGCGGGGCTCTCTTTCCATTGCCTGTAACCCCTCTCGGCAGCTGGAAATTCAAATCCACTTCTCTACGTGTTTTAACCTTTCCTCTACTGCTCTTTTCCCTCCCTCCGACCAGTTACTTGTCAGCTGAAGGACTTTGTGCAACGAGACAAAGTTCATTGCAATATCCCCATCAGCCTTTGGGAAAGCAAGCTCAGCAGAGGTGACTGTGTCTTACCTAAGGCCTTATTCCCACCTCCACCAATGACTCCATGGGTGACCTTGGGAAAGTCATTTCCCCACTCCGTGCCTCGATTTCCCAGCTGTAAAATGCAGATAATACTGACCTATGTCCCTGTGGACTTGTGAGGCTTAAGAAGAGATTCTGAGCGCTCAGGGATCCTCTGATGAAAGCAACAATGTGCTGTTACTATCAGGATGCTGCCAACAGCACAACACGATTGGAAGCAGCATGTTCACATTCGCTTCTGCATCAAAAGAGCTCTCTGCCGGGCCATGAAAGATGCATGAGATCCCTTGGACATTCAGCCTGATGTCTGTGCAGAGCCCATTCAGTGGGAGACCTCAGTAAAGACGTCTAACCTTCCCCGCGCATTCCAGAAACTAACCAATTAGGGATTCTTAAAGGATCTATTCAGCTCACGGCTGCACTGTGCCATCCACATCCAGATTCACCCGCTTGCATTTGCTTCAAGGGTATGTCTAGACCGGAATTAATCGGCTGCCAGTTAACAAACGTGTTGATACAAATTATATGGAAATCTGCTGCTGTGAGCTGTGTCCAAACGGACGTGTATAAATGTGGTGGCTGATTCGAGTTACCCCCAGTGCAGACAAACCCTCAGCGAGTGGGGGAGGTGTTTGCCCCTCGGTCCCATCTCAGAGTGGGCTTGCTTCCTCCAAGAAGCCCCACACTAACCCACGCCACGTCTGTCAGACCAAACCTTCCTCGGGGGCTTGGCAATTGTGTGTCACTGAGGCTGGAAGCTCCCTTGTACAGCATTTACACAAAGCTCCCTCCTGGCACAGGATCCCAAAGACATCAAGGAGTCTCTCCTTGTTCCACACCAGGCATGTGGCCAGTACCAGCCCTGTTCCACAGACAGGGCAACAGAGACACAAAGAGACTTGGCCAACGTGTCTCAGCAAGTCAGCTGCCGAGCCAGGAACGGAACTCAGGAGAGCCGCACTTTAACGAGATGGCCCATTCCTTTAAGAAGCGCACACCCTGTGCGCCGCAGATCACACCCAGGCGCAGTTCGCCTGCTAATAGCATCCCGTATCTGTCGTGTCTGATGAGAAACCTAGGACAGCATCTCTCACTAAGAAGAACTTGGCACCCACCCCGACAGACTGTGCTCTCTCCCTGTTGCCAGGCTAGTGCTCCCTGATTACTAAAGTGATTTTCCAACACGGAGCAGTTTTCTGAAGTAGCCCAGGCAGGGCTGGACTTGCAGGATATTCTGCAGACCCGAGAGCCTCTCTGCTTGGTGGTACTCGAGCTAATTTTGACACTATTCGTTTAAATGGCTTTATCCAAATTGAGACAAAATGTGGTTTAAAAGTCTTGTAAACTGCAACACCCAGTGGCCGAACAGTTTATTGCTTTGCCAGAAACCCAGGTCCAATTCCTTTGGTCAGAAGGGTCTAGCCTGCTATGGAGATAGAGGCTCAACTCCATAACCCCCAGCACTGATGGGCTCTGAAGGGAGCAGATAACCTCCTCTACGAAGGCTGGGGCTGCTATATAAATGGGGGTATCCCAGAACTTGTAAAGGCAAGACGAATCTTGGACCGGGTCGGTGTCCTGAGCACTGGCACCTGCACCTTAAAGAGAAGAGGGGCTGCAATCTGCTCCATTTGAGACAAGCTGGAGCAGACTCCGAAGGTCCTTAGAAGTTGCTAGCATGGCCTGTGCTGGGCAATACATGGTACCCGGGCACCTCTCTCACAATGCTCTGCCAGCACAGATCAGGCAGGGTTAGCGTCAATATGTTCACTAATACCGTATAATTCATTACAGGTTCGGCCGCCAGGGTCCTGGTCTGGGAGGCAGGAGATCTGGGTGCTTTGCCCAGCTCCACCACTGCCCCACAATGCAACCTTGGGCAGGTCCCGGTCACATCCCTACCAGGATCCAGCTGGAAGCTCAGATCTCTAGCTATGTTTGCAGGGCTGACAATTAGGGGAAAAAAACATCTTTTTAGAAAATGTGATCTGGAGTCCAACAATGCTTGTTTCTCAGAGTATCGCTGCACCCAGCAGGAGAGGACCAAAACAGAAGCCAATGGTTCAAATGAGGGTACAGAGTCCCAACACAGTTGGCACTTTCGTGTTAAATGCACCCAAGCATCCTACTGCTTCACCCCTGCTGCACAGACAGACACGTCCACTGAGCTCAATTTCCCCCGGCTCCCTTCACCAGTGCTTTCTGCACCCCGTTTTCAACCATGTCCGGGAGGCCTGGCACCTAGGGCACAAGCTGGGAACTCAGGCAGGAATGACGTTTGCTGAGGAGACAACCTCAGCTTGTCAGTACTTGATGAGGAATGGAAACCGAGATCTATTCGGACCACGCTGGCACCAAAAGCTGATTCCTGCATCCGGGAGCTGGAGGATGAGGATCCCAGGGGAAAATGTTTCTCCTGACTGTGATGGTGTCTTTCTTATCGCACAGTCGAGTTCCCTGTTTTCGGCGTCGCTAATGCAAGTTCCGCACTGATGGCCATGCCATAGGGGATGCAGGAGAGCAGACTGTGACTGGGAACTCTGAGCTGTCCAGTTTAATCAAATACCAATTTGTTATGAAGGATCTTTGCAGGAGCCCACGGCAGCGACCTGTAATTCAGAGGGGCATCTTCCTACATGTTCCTGTGTCCAATGGTAGTTTTCAGGAGCTACCTCAACAGCTGAAGTTAAACTCAGACCTGACTCTTCCACACATGCCTTGTAAAAATGTTAACAATATCTTTTGTTTCAGAGTAGCAGCCGTGTTAGTCTGTATCCGCAAAAAGAAGAACAGGAGTACTTGTGGCACCTTAGAGACTAACAAATTTATTAGAGCATAAGCTTTCGTGGACTACAGCCCACTTCTTCGGATGCATATAGAATGGAACATATATTGAGGAGATATCTTTTGTGTGTCTCTCGGCTTTCAGAGAGATCTGAAAACTCACCCAAGATCTCTCTCCAGTCTTTGCTGCTTTTTTCCAAGTTCTTGAGGTGGTTCCCAACTGGCTTGAGGGCTCTTGGTGTCCCTTTTTGACCTCCAGAAGCACCACATTCACACACACACGGGAACTTGGACTGTCTTGCCCTTTTATATGGCCGGAGCCCAGTAGATAATTGGTTTCTAAGAGTCTGAGTAAAACCCAAACCTCAGCCCGGCAGGCCATAAAGTCTCTCAGTCTCACAAGGACCATGGTGTAGGCCCCCTCCTTGCCCAGTCACACCTTCCTCGCCCTGCAATTTCCCTACGTCAAAACACAAAACGGAGAGGCAGACC